TTGCCTCGGGTTCCGACCAAATTCGGAGGAAAAAGGAAGTATAGTAAGATTTCTTTTTAACAAAGTAGGCTATTAAACTATTTTACACAGATAATACTGTATGCATTGAATTGTTTTTCATTCTTAATTGTTTATGAATTGTAGTTTTATTTATAAATTAAATAGTGTATCTCATGGTATATCTTCTCAACTTCCAGCATTTGTGGAAGCGCCTTTCATCTTTGACCTAATATCAGATTCAAGACTGATTCCACAAAGAGACGCCATCCACTGCCTGTATTATTTCTACCAATATTAATCTGGAATGCAACTTCTAAAAACTGTGAACTACTTTTTTTCTTTTAAAAAAGGATGCTGCATCATTTTAGGAAAATTTGTTCAGGTTTCATGTAAAGACATAAAATGCATAAAACATTTTTACAAAGGAATTGAATTGTTTCAGTAAACACACATAAAGTTACTCAAAATTTGTTTCTGTATAACAATATGCCATGGTGGTGATACTGAGATTTCAAAAACGGATACATAGATAGGAGAATGAAGAAAAAATAACTCTTAGTATACCCAAACCAAACTGTTTCTGATTTCAAAAAGTTTATTTATAAGAAAGGTATATTTTGTCCCAATAGTAAACACAAAACCATTTGCTCAAATTTAAACAATCACCTTTCCTTGAGATTGCAATTTCATCCTTTTTAACTGAAAACAAATCTGACAAAATTTCCCTCCCTCTCAGCTAAGCCTAAAGAAATTAAGTACAGTACCTTTGAATTGCAGCGGGCGAGAGACTAAAAAGTGATAAAATTTATAATGTACAAGTATAAAAATATGTTACTCAAGGTACAGCACAATAATTTAATAGCTTTTTGCCGTTTTATAAGTATCTGGAAATGGAACAGATATGTGTCCTGCTCCTGTTACAAGAGGTAGGATGCCTGCATTTGGTACGACATTCCAGGAGAGAGTCAAAGTGACATTCCTGTTGCCCCTGCAATTTGAACAAAGCATTAATAGAAACATTTGAATATTCTAACTTGCAAGAAAAGTAACCGTAAGTAAAATGATGCATTAGCGCTGTGCAAAGCACTCAAAAGGGTGCGTCATGAAATGGCGTTTGTGTGAGTAAGTGCCTCTCCTCAAAGTGTTAAGGCATCAATGTTTTCCAGAATACTTGGTGTAGCTAATTCAAGGGCCTTAATTTCTTCATGCGTGTACATGCACATTCACTTTCCTGGGACTTCTGATGGAAGTACTGCCTGTGTGTGCATACAAACACACACACATACCTGGGAATGCCCTTGAAGCAGCTCTGCCTTCCTCAGACCTTTGAGAAGCACTTTGCTTGTGACTGTACAATTTATGAAGCATGCCTTCAAATGCTTTGCATAGCCTTGTTATGCATGTCATTGTAAAGAATTCATTAATTTGATTTAATAAGAACTGCATTATGAACTGTAATGTTCAGTTTTTACAGTGATAAATTATTCTGATGAAAACTTGCCAGTTTTATGCATGCTTGTATTTAAGTCTATAGTGCCCTAAATCCAAGGAGCTAATGTTAAGTTTTGAAATGTGCTGCTCTCATTAAGATTTGAACATACTTAGTGATTTCTGGTATCATTCTTAAACCTGAAAGAAAAAAAACAATATAACAGGGGGAAACTCGACAATCACCTGCAGGCATACTCAGGGTGTATGAGAAAGCTTCTGGAATAACCTTCAAGTAGTTTATTTTCCCCCATCAGAATGCAAAGGAGAGCAGAAACTCAGGGTTTCATTTACCCCTCTTCTTCCATGCAACTATACGGAATGCAGAGATCAGTTGTGGTGGTGAAGGACCATATATCCAAACCAATTCATGTAAGTATGATAGTTTAGTTCAGTTTAGTTTCAAAACTATGTAGTTTAATTTTCAGCAGAAAGGGAATACATTAAACCTATTAATTGATAAGTACTGCCTTTTTAAATGGGAATTAATCTGAATTTCAGTATGTCTTTCCCAAAGTGCTACAGAAAATTGAGAGGTTCTTTCTTACTAATGCATGTATTAGCTGCCTCCACTTTGAAGTGCTGCAGGCTCCCTTTCAAACGCGTCTGTTCAGACTGTTACAGCCAGACTATTTACCAGCACAATATCCTTGTATAATTGTCTTGCTTTTAACATACTCAACAGAGGATCTATTTTCTGTCCTGTCAACACCTGAATACATTTTGTGAGAATGTGAAAACTCACTGCACCTGGACTCTGGAACTTCATTTATATGATTTAAATCTTACATTTCTATCCACAGATTACTCATAAGTTACAAATGTATATCATATCTGACATTCAAGACTTCTACAGTCTGGCATAATATTTATACGCAAGTCTACAGAAGACATAAAGAGAACTTACGTAAGTTATACTAGCTATAGATACTTTCAACATTTATAAATATATGGTGAACGAACAGCGCATTGTCTCAAAAGAAAAAGTATCTATTTACAGGTAGTCCTCAGTTAACAACTACTCATTCAGCAACTGTTCAAAGTTACAACAGCACTGAACAAGTGGTACTTATGACCAGTCCTCGAAGTTCCAGCTGTCCCAGCACCCCCACAATCATGTGATCATGATCCGGACACTTGACAACTGGGTCACACTTATGACGGTTGTAGCATCCCACAGTCACATGATCGCCATTTGCGACCTTACCTGCCAGCTTCCCACAAGCAAAGTCAGTGCGGAAGCCAGCTGGGAGAGTTGCAAGTTGCTCCTGTAAGTTGCTCTCACTCCCGCCTCTTTTTCTCCTGAGAAGCCCAGCACCAGATAAGAGATCCTGCACTCCATGGCTCCCACCTGTCCGCCAGCTGCGCTTCTGTGACACCACAGCAGCCACCTGCACACCTTCCTGCAGCCAGAAGCAGCTACCCCCTGGCCCAGCTGAGCTTGTGCCACACCGCAGCAGCCATTTACCTGCCTGCCAGCCTGCTTGCGAGCTGCCTAGGACCTGTGACTTCCTGCCAGCTTCCCCACTGACTTTGCTTGTTAGCAGCCAGCAGGAAGTCGCAAGGAGGTCCTCGCTAATGACCTGTGATCAACAGCAACAGGGACTGCCAGGATTGCTGTCACTAAGCAATGCAGTCATGTGACATCAGACTTTATGACCACATTGCTTAGTGATGGAAATTCGTGTCCATCATTAAGCGAGGACTACCTGTATTCCATTGAAGAGACACAGATGCAACAAAAATGTAGTGTTGAAACTATATACTCTCTGTATAAGATATTTTTACCCTGTGGTACATACGGTATATCACAAATATATATCAATTACTAAATAATGTAAGGGGGAGATTTACTCACTTGAGGCCATTTCCATCATCGAAGAAAAAGTATTTTGATTTCATATCTTTCAAAAGCAGCTTTGGGTTATCTCCTCTCAAGATGATTTTGTCCCAAAGGACAACTTGATTCAATGCCTACAATTAAAATTATACATTTATGTCAACAAAAGCAATACAAAATATATTTCTTAAGAAAGCAGAACACATATAGAAATATTTGATGAATTTGTTCAAAGTACAATTTGAAATAAAGTTAGCTAATAAATACAATCCAAAAGTGTACTTGGAAATGGAACACAGAAGAGGATTAATCTGCAATTTTTCGAACTTTTCTGCCAAGTTATTTGACTACTGTTTTAAGAGGTAGATTAAGCAACCATTATTTATAATTTCAAGCTGCACGGGACCACTTAAACAGAGGCAGAAAACTTTTTTAGTGGCTACTTATCCGTATATGTATGCATGTGTATGTGGCGACTGAGGGCTGAGAGGGACATTTTCCAAATGATGATGATGATGATTAAAAATAGGTGCATAAAACCTTTAAAAGGAACAAAAAAGCACTGCTAAAAATCATTATACTGATGCCCAAATTTCAGCAGCATACTGAATCTCTAGGCAATACGCAAACCATTACACAAACAGTACATTAACATTATGTCTTAATAATGTATTGCTAAATTATATCCTCCAAACTTTGCATTTGTGTATTAATGAGTAACTCTGAATGTATCATGCTGGGTTGTGGCAAAAAGGTGATTATGTACTCCTGGAAGAAAGTTTGTATACCACACTCTAAAGATGGGCTTAATGAAATCCATCAACTTTCAGGCTTTGAATTAGCCTGATATCATCAGAAAAGAAATATCAAAAAATATGATTCTGGGAAGTCTAGATTCAACTTGTTTTAGAAACCAGCTATTAGTATTTTGTATAAAGATGTAAATATCATTTTGGTATTACAGACTCTTATTACTAGTATATTGTAGTGTATTGTTTTCCCACTTACTTGCTTTTCTTTGCTGTATCATTATTTTGTATTTTTTAAATGTATAGTTTAGCTTCAATTGTTAATGCTATTTACAAGTTCTGTTTTTCTCTGTTTTCTAAATGAAAATCAATACAATTGTTATTTAAAAAAACAAACAAGGCCACATGCAACTTGCAGGATTAATATTTCTCTATTAAGACAATTAAATAGATGGCTGAGTTCACATATAATAACAGCAGCCATAATTTTTTCTGGGAGCATCATAGAAAATCAACAGAAAAATAAACTGAATACCTAATGCTAAATCTTTGTAAAGCGTATGAACCAACTTTGCTATTTTTGAGAGGTATTGTGTTCTTTCAGTGGTAAATTATTAAAAATAATGTTTGGCTTGATATGAAAAAAGAATATCAGAAAAACAAAGTAATTAAAAAAAAACTTCCTGGAAAAAAGATGGCATGGTACAGTAAGAATTTTATTTAAGGAAAAATGAACTGTTATATTAAGCATTGTTATAAAGAAAGATATTTCATGCATAGCAGAGAGCCATAAAGCACCGAATATAACACTAAAATGGGGATATGACACGTTTGAGAAATGTAGTTTGGTTTTAAAAGATGCTGATGTAACAACCACTGATTTACATACAGGCAGACTAGAATAAACTGGAACTTTCTGAGATAGGATTGCTGAAGTTTATAAACAGATAGCTTTAGCAAATGACAAAAAGGGAACAGATTATTTGCCCATCTCTTTTCTGAAACTGGAGATTTCCCAACCACCAATGGCAACCGCTGTTTAAATTAATTACCCCAGAATTGTGTATTAAGCCTATTTTGTTTTCTGAGGGATTAGTATAAATGCAAACAACTCTGGAAAAACATTATTACAGTACGTGTACCTTTCTCAAGGTGGCATATAAGTTTAGTCAGTAAATAAAAACAAAGTAAATATTTAAACATTCACTGTTCATGTGCAGATATAGCTGTATCTAGCAAAATGTATAAAAGTATGGCAGTATCATATTAGACAGTACTAAAGAAAGGTATTCTATCTTTACTGTTATAGAGAAAGGAAACAACGGCAAGGGAAAATTATGATAAATAACAGAAATAGTTGCAATGATCCTGTAGCCAAGATCATGATTTAAGACATAACTTATTGTGAATAGAAAGATTATGAATATATGTATGTATGTATGTATGTTTTCTTTTGTAAGAGCGCTTGAAGGATTAAAAAGGCTAATCTCTATCTAATAATACAAAAAGTTGCTGTTGTTTCTGATTAAAATGGCCATGAGTTGAATTTTAGAAACAGAAGTTAAATACTGTTGTAATATTAAAGTAATGTATGAAAACTAAAATGCTCCCTTTCTATAAAGACAGCTTTTCAAACAGCATTCAAGCTGGAGGTAGCAGGTAAATGAAAAACTTTCAGAATATAGATAAATTTTTGTATATATTTTATAGGTTGTTAATCTGGGAAAGTGAAATGGTGCATATTACAATGTATCATATCTAATAGACTGTCAAAGAGTAACCCCAAAATATAACCAAAAGCTGCTTTTCAGTTATTGCCAGAATGTGTCCCAAGGTTTATTTTGGTGATAGAGAAGCGAGAGTGTAAAATGTAAAATAACTACCTATATGATTGTTATGCAGCTCAGTAATATTAACAACATAAACTCTAGTATGACTTCCCATTTATTCACTTTTAAATGCACACTTACATTGTTCTTTGTTGAATATTCTGCTGATAAATATAGAAATAACTGTTTCACGTTCCAGTCAAATATACTTTGCAGATGTGAAAAAGATAAGGAACATATGCCATATCAGAATATGACTTTTTCCAAAACATTCACATTCAGTACAAATCTCAACAATCCAAGCTTCTATTTAAAGAAAGAAAAGATCTTATACAGACATTGGCAAGCCTGAGCATTATTGAAACTCAAAGCATCCCAACAAGCCCTAAAGCCCTGCTGGTTACAAGCTGGCAGAGCAGAAACAAAAACAGAGGGACTGTTCACTAGACATGTACAAAACATTCTGAACTCAAAATGACAATTCTGAGTGTTATGAACTCATAATATCCCACATTCCAAAATTTTACTCTGATTTGGGGGTGAAAAAGACCATTTCATTATAGTGTTTTGAACAGTCTAACATCATGCACTTAGTTTTTTTTAAAAAAACTTCAGTGCCATGGAGACTTATATTACCCAATAAAACAGCAAGTAAATCCCTTGCTGCCACCGGTTAGACCTAGTTGAAGGGAAAAGGAGAGAGTGTGAGAATCATTATGTACTTAAAAAACAACAACTGCTGTCTGTTTGGTAAATAAGTCTACTGCTGTTTTTCAATGTATCTGTTTTTCAGTTCTTTGCTATGGGCTACAAAGAATGGCCTATAATGTCTGTCCCCCTGTTTTTCATGCTGTTTTCTTTTCCAGGCAGATTACCAAATGCAGAAGTGGGGCAATGATATGATTAACAGGCAATGCTATTATGTTGCTGTACTTTCAAGTTGCCACATGCAGAACTGTGTTATTGTATTCAATGAACTTTGTTATCAGGTTACCAAATGCAGTAAGTACGCACAACATAAGCATGAGCATCAGGAAAAAGCCTCAAAACAATAACCAAAGAAATAAATGTTGGTGTTATATTGTTCACTAAAGTTGCACTGAAATGAATCTACTGCTATTGCTTCTTTGCTGTATTCAGTTCTATAGTTATGCAGCCAATGACTGCAAATAATTATGTTTAACTATTGCTTCTACCTTTTCTTATAAATAAGGAAGCAAAACCCACATTTTCAGTTCCCATTATTATCTATGGCAGAACACTCAATATAGTCTGATTTTTCTTATATTAAAATACAACCAATTTGAAACACCTTTTACATAAGCATATGAATGGACTGTCATGTTTGAAATTTGAAACAATGTAGTTTAGTTCACACTATTAATATTCACATTTGTCCATTTTAGAGGGCGTGTCTCTTCCATTGCTTGCTATGAGTAAAGGCAGGTGGAGTTTATGTCAGTTATCTGTCCTGTTGAAGCCAGTAAGACTTTCTACCCTTTTAATGCTAACATTTGTCATAAAGGATATCTGCACTAATGTCAAAAGTAATGATTCCAAGGTCACTTCTTTCACCTGGTCCAGTGAAATCTTCTACATTTTTTCTATGAAATAAAGTAAAAATATTATTCAATATTATTCACAGCTGATATAAGACACCATATTTACTTTCAAGGAAAAGACAGAACTACTCAAACAGGAAGCAAACAAGTTTATCTTTGTTTACCCTTATTATGAGAAAAAGAGAGTTTATTGCACATCTGTTGCTCTAGAGAACACACAGGATAAAGTGAACAGGTTTGTATTAGATCGTTTTGCATCAGTATAGAATTGAATATTGGTTGGATGAGTAAGAGGAGTATATGATGGAAGTAAAGCATGTATGAGAATAAATGTAACGCTTAATGAAAGGTTCAACACTGAGTAAGGAATAAGACAAGTATGAGTTTCCTCGGATGCTTGACTTACGTAAGCATAAATATATAATAAATGCTTATGGTAACTTTAGATGTGTGTTGATTATGGATATGAATGTCCATTATTTTATATGCAGATTATGCCATGCTGTTGCCTGACAACCCTAGTGATCTGCAGTGAATGTGAGACCACCAATTAATCTATCAGACCAAGAAAAAAAGAACAATTGAAAGCTAAACCTAAATGATAACAACCCACAGTAGGCAAACAATATGCTTACCTTCATAGAATGTTTAGCAAAGAAGGGGAAATCAATGGAGAACATTTAAGAAGTGCAAATGCTGATGGGAAAGAAGTGGGCAGTATGTGAGGAATAAATACTTGTCAAAAGAAGTTGAAATGGCTTTGTGAAAGAATGTCCTTCTGCCTACTTTGTTATATAGAAGAGAGAGTTGGGTATATTAAGAGAAATATAAAAATTAGTTGAATGTACAAAAATTGGGTACTTAAGAAGGGTAGGTGGTAAAACAAGGAGAGATAGGTTAAGGATGAATGGGGATTGACTGAATGTAAAAGTGAGTGACAATTATGAAATAAATGTTTTGAGATAATTTGTCATGTGGAAAAAATAGGATCAAATTGCAAATGAAATAGATGAAGGAAGAATGAATGGATTGAATAGAAAAGATGAAACGTAGATAATCAGATCCTCAGAAAGAGACACGAGGTGTTTAAAGGAAATAGATGAAGCAATGCATTGGCATGGGCATGAGAGAAACAAGGACTGCTTGCAAGGGCAGCAAGAGAGTGAGTGATATTGGTGTAAACTATTTTAGTGATTTTCTAAATTCACACTCCCACTTATGATCCCCAGTTACAGGTATACAGAATTATGCAGCTTCCAATATAGATATACTGTACTTATATAAAGCATTTCTACCTTATGTCTCAAAACTGAAAGTTCCAAAATTAGTTCTTATGGTAGCAAATATTAGCTTAAGTTTTAGCTTTGTGTAGAAATACTTCCTTTATGTCCTAAATCTGCCATCCTTCAGTTATATTAGATAACCCCAGCTTCTACATAAGGAACAATTTATTCCTCTTTACTTTACTTCTTACGACATATGGTTATTCATTTCTAACATTTTCTCTTTTAGTCACATTTATTCTAAGTTAAATAACCTTAAACACTGTAACATTTCCTTGTAATTAGAAAAATAATTTACTTTTGTAAGATATCTCTTAGATAAAATACTTTTCATAATGTACAATGAATCCATCATAAACTGCCAGTACAATCAACAAAATGTAAATTACTAGCTAACTGGGAATCAATGGTGAATTAAGGAGCTATGTAAGAAACTGGTCAAAAGCATGCCAAGTGAATGTGAATTCAATATCTGTGATAGACAAGTACACAATTTAGTTTTCTTAGCACTTATTTACAGTTCTTACTAATACAATTACTATATAATGAGAATCTGGAAACATTTTTTAAATTTCTCACCCAAGTGGCTCACTATGAGATCATAAATGCATTTTCTCTGTATTTCCATTATTTTATTGATGCAGTGCAGTCAACATGCCACTCTTTAACCATGTTATGTATATGAGATCTGAAACCCACAGAAGGGTGTCTACTGAAATTTTCAGAAAATCATATATAAATAGGCTACGTACAGGATTTATTTTGCTAATACAACAAGACATTTTGTTACAAAATAACATTAAACCTCTTACATTTTTCTAACTTCTTAGAAACTGGAATATGCTTAGTAAATAAGCTGTCAATGTCAACAGCAACTGAGGTTTTTTTAAACTGAGTTGCCTTTCTGTGCATGCACTCTCAAGGGAGCTTTCCAGAAGGCAGACTTGAGCACTGGAGGGTTCGTGTTGTTCATTCATTGGCTTAAAGAAAAAGGAAATGACAGAACAGGAAGGAAAGGCCTACCGTTCTGAAACTGACAATCTAGAGGAAAATTAGATTAAGACCTAAGTGGCAGCAGAGAACAAGAGAAGTTTGCAAGGGCGATAAAAAGAGTGCCTTAAATTGTGAACCGAGCAGCGTATATACTGATGGGTTGGAACAACACACGACACTGACTAGCACAATCAAACAGGAGGAGACGCTGATCTAAGAATTATTCTCCATCAACAGCAACTCCAGTGAGACTGTATCAAGGGTTTATATTAAAAGCAAACACCGGGGCAAGGATGGAGGTTTACAAAACGATTAAACACGGGGGGTTACGCTACAGTACAACTCAGCACCCCAACATCCCGAAAAATCAGGCTACTCTGTGACAGCTAGAGCAGCCAAGCGTTAAGACTAACAAGCGCCCTAATGAATTCGTCAGTTTTTAAGGTGCCGCCAAACTCTTCGGCGCATTTGCCCCTTCTCAGCCAGGGGCCGCTGAAAAGCAGAGATGCGCATCCGATTCTGTTTCCCCCCCGTTTCCACCACTCTTCACTTCGAAAAAGGGCTGCTGGGTCCCCGTCTCTGGGGAAAGAGAAGGGCCGCCTGCGCCGCCGCCCTCCCTCATTCACACACTCACAGCATGACACGGGAGACCGCGATGCTGACGGGCACCGTGCGCTCTTTGAAAGCGGTGGTGATGAAGCAGCCGAAGGTCAGCGCCGCCATCACGCTCAGCGAGAAGGCGAAGAGCGAGTTGGCTCGAGTTAGGACGGTGTTCATCTCCCCGCCGTCCCTCCAGCCCTCACGACACACACGCGAACGAGCGAGCGACTGCCCGCTTTGTCCTGCCCTCCGTGCCGGCCAGGCCGCAGCTCCGGGGTAACGGAGAGAGGTAGGCGGGCGGGCACGCTCGAGTTAGGGGGCCGCACGAGGACCCGAAGTCGAAAGGAAAAGGCTGCAGCCGGGACTGCCGCTATCCGTGACTGGAGAGAAAAGGAGGCCCCACACGGCCACCTGCCTGGAAACGAACCCGCCCAACCACCCCGCGAGAGGAGGGCCCAAAGAGCATCCGTCCGCCTCAGCCCGCCCATAGGCGGAATAGCCCCTCTCCGTTCCTCTGCCTACAAATCCCATGAGCCTCAGCAACCATCTTTCGCTCTACTTCCTCCATAGAGATAGGAAGGGTAGAGTGACATGAAGTCCGCCTTAGCCCAGGCGTCGCTGTTGAGCTTGGTTAAGTACCGCGGGACGCCACCTGCGCGCTCCCCGAATTGCGGAAGCAAGGTTTTGGGAGAGCGGGAAACCGAATGTATTTGCCCTTGCTACAGCCCAAAGTTTATTTTTGAGATTGCGTGCTACGCTGCTATCCGAATGTAGGGCGACTGAGTTCTGAACAGCCTTCCCCAAGCCCGTACCGGCGGAAGGAAAAGTTACCGGAAGACAGTTGTGGGAAACCATTTCGGAATGCTTGCTAAGAAAACTAGATTCTCGTGCGCATTAGTCACCATAAGGCGAACTCTGATTGGAGACTATATTTAGCCTAACTTATTTGGAGGGCGCTGATTGGAGAAGGCGAAGTTACGTTACGCTATTCTGTTGTCTCTCGCGCTCGGGAACGGGCGCTGCCACGTGCAAGCATCGCAGCGGAAGGTTCGTCACCTGCGCAGTAGCGTTCGCCCCAAAAGGCTCTTACGCGACTTGCTCTCATTTAATGGTGAGGTGCTGCTCGAAAAACATTGGGCGCCGTTGGAAATACGGGGGAGGTAACACGAAGAATTGCGCGCCTCAGCCTTGCAATTTGAGAATAGCGAGGCGGAGCTTATGGCGAAGCGCTGATAGTCATCCGTCATGCTCTCTGGTGCAATATCCCAGTTAACAACAAATAGTCTTGGCCTTAACTCCTTTCGACAGGGGACGCTGCTACTATATTTCTCAGCACAACAGAAGGCGTTTAAAAAAGAAATCGGACTCGAACTTCGGTGTGGAGGGTTTGCTTGCAGGTTTCCTAAGTAATTAAATCCTAGATACCTCTTAAGAACAGATTTTTCAGTACAGTAACAAGCACTCGTGGGGTCAAACATAACCATGGAGATCGAGTATGTATGCAAATAGTTTTCCAGGAACCATTGGTGATACCTTCCTGCTTGCTAAAGTAAGTGTTAGGCTGTGGATTTAATCCCAATTACTTTGGGGGGGGAAGCCTCTGTGTTAGATAAATGATGGGGGGGGGTGTCTGTCTGCACAAACACGTAGCATAGTTGTGTTAAAATAGATTTTATATTTAACTCTTAAGACTTTTTCAACCTAATGGCTTTCATATGCAACTCTTATCAGCCCCACAAAACTGGCTAGGAGTTAACCCAGCACATCTGGAAGACACTGCAGTGGTGAAATCCAAGACCTTGATGAATTAATGTAGAGAAACCATATTTCAGATGAAAAACTCCAAACAACCGGCAGATGGTAGCAAAGAGAAGCAGAAAATGATTTGTTACCATCTAGTGTTGATCTACAAAGGAAAAGTAGCATTTTGCTGGCAACAATGAAACAGGACTTTGCTCTCTTATTTATATCTTAAAGCAGTAAATCAGAGTTTTTAGCTCTCTGTTTTGATAATTTGACTATAATTACACATCCACTAAGCTCTGGAAAACCTGTTTCAGTAACAACTCAAAGGAATCATCTTTTGCTAAGCAGACAAACTGTAGAGCCAGAGCACACAACAAACACAGTTACAGATGCACACTGATACTAGCTGGCTGGCAGGAGTACAGAGCAGGAAGCAGAACCGAGGTCCACTAGAAAGGAAAATATTCCCACTCACTTATTTTTCACATGTGGAGGAGAACCTAATGCTAGGGGAAAAGGACAGAGATCACTCACAACATTCCATGGGCATGATACACCATAGAACAATTTCCTTGCTACCCAGCCAGCAACAGATGGAAATTGAGTGGAACAATAGGCATAAGATATTAAGAGAATGAGAAGCAGTGTGATGACAGCTGACTCATACATTCTTAGGGCCAGAGTCACAACATATCTGGGTGTGGGATTCTGGAAGAAAATACGTTTGTGTGGTAATTCTGCAGGAAAAAGTGCTCATCCTTGGCCAGCAGCAGAGTGTCCGAGAACACAACGAATAGTAACTTTCCTGTATCTGGAAGTAATAATTAGGCCCAATCTTTCAGGCAGATTTTTCCAAAGTTTGTAGGAAGAGGGATGAATATTAGAATCCCTTTACAGAAAACATATCCCTAGGATTTCAGAAGAAATCGGTAGCTAATTCTCTCTGCGGTATTTCAGTTATATTTCTTGGATCAATGTTTCCTCTTCATTCTGGTGAATATTAATTGTCCTCCTTTCCCCTACAGTCTTAGCTTGAGCAGCTGTTCCTATTTTGCTTTTGTTGAGCTTGAATCTTTTCCACTGAATTTTGCAGAAATGTCCAAAATAGGCTTGGTATCATGCTTTTTTTTTTTAAAAAAAAGGTAGCTAAGAGCCTAAATTGGTTTCCTCTGTGACCTTCATCTCACTAAAAGCCTCTTTCCTTCACCACACATAGGTAGTACGCCAGTCCTTTTGATCTGATATTGTTGGAATGCTTGGCAGCTATTGCTTCAAGATAGAATTATGCAAACAGCTGTCAAATGAAGGACAGCTTGGGATAAAGGTGAATGAAATCATAAAGGCATTGGAACTGCCACCTCAAATACTGAAGTGGATTTCTCCTATCAAGACATGCTTCCTGCCTCAAAAAAGCTGTATATTATGCAAATGCAGTATGTTTTCCCTTTTCTCTGCTTTCCAAATGTACTAATAGTGAATTCCTTTGCTTACAGTCACATGGAACATTATTACAGAAAATTTTATACTAAAGTTGGAGTAGAAACTATCCTTGCACAATTGTTTTTCTCACTTTAAAAGCTCTTTAAAGTAAAGCTTTATGCACAATATTTAAGTATATAACTAAAATAGTACCTAAGTACAATTAATTGTAAAAAGAAATACCTGACTTTCTAAATGTATATTTTAAAATAAAATAAACATTTTAACTCATGAAGATTTTGGAATTATACTCTAAATAAATTCCTCTTTGATGTTCATTAAAACATGGTTCTTCTTCTGTCTCACGCTGAAAGGCAATCAGTCCAACTTTCCTTTCTTCCATCAGCAAATGAATTGATTTTAATCATGCGTCATCAAGGTGGTGTTAACACTTGGCAACCACATAGATACATTTTCTTCAAGACGATCTGTTTGCAACCTGGTCCTTTAGTTTTTCCAACAGTGCACTCATCACTGCTGTAACTGCATCCATCTGTCTTGCTGCTGGTCATCCTCTTTTTGTTTTCACCTTTCCCAACATTATAAACTTCTCAAAAGAGCCAAGTCTTCGCACAATGTGGTTGAAATATGATAACTAGGCCTGGTCATTTGTGCCTTGAGTGAGAATTCTGAATTGATTGTTCTATGATCTATTAATTTGTTTTCTTGGCTTTCATGGTATCCTCAGGAGTCTTATTAAACACCTAAGTTCAAAAGTGTCAAGACTGTTTCTGTCTTGCTTCTTCAAAGTCCAATTTTTGTCTCCATAGAGTGTCACAGGGAAAGCCATTGCCTGCATGATTCTGATCTTTGTACGCATAGACACATCCCGGTATCTGAATATCTTTTCCAAGGCTTTAATTGCTACTATACCAAGGGCTAGTCTGCAGCATTTTTCTTGACTGCTGGTTCACTTACTGTTGATGGTCCCAAAGGTAGAAACTATCCACCACAATATCTTTGTTGTCATATTCTGAGCCTAGTTAGTGGACCTGTTGTCATTAGTTTGGTCGTCTTTTATTTAATCTTAATCCTAATTTCTCACTTCCTTAGAGTTCAGCAGCTTAAGTTGCAAGCAAAAGCTTATTTTGAAGGGTGCCATACACATTTAAAAAAATAAATATAATAAAATAAGCAGTAGAGTGTAGCCAAAAAGATCCATTCAGTATGAACAGCCATACCACCTTTTGATGGTATTTAGGAATCCTGTCCAAAATTCTGTTGAATAAAGGTAAGACAATGAAGGAAAACCATGACCATGCACAGCAATATAAGAATAGAAAATTCTGTATCAGAATAGGTCTACTTGTATCTATATGAGTAAATCTAATTCAGAGCATTGTCATGTTGGCCAAAGCTAGAAAAACAGTAACAGCTCATAATGGGCATTTTACTATGCTTTATGCTATTCAACTGAGGTATAGCTGATCAATGAAGCAGAAGTTCTCATGGATACAGGTTACTCAATAAAAAGAACAATGGGTACTATAATATCTTAAGAGAGAATTGAATGCTAACTGAAATGTGACTGGGAATGGTACATTTTGGCTGCTCTTCCTTCTAGACGTTATCTGAAAGATGCTGAAATATCAGATCCAGGCTTTGTTATGTATATTTTATATTTGTAATACGTACATTAGAGAGTTTAATGAATATAACAGCATAAATAAGAACACCAGCAAAAGTATATGAACATTTCCAAAGTATTGGGACACTTCCCCTTTTCTTGCTCCTACGGAATAGACTCTTAGATAAACCAGAAATATACTAGAACATATAATAAATAATACCATTTGAGAACTGTTCTTCAACAGCACAAAACCTGATGGGCTTGCACTTATAAGACTGATCCTTTTAAAATGGCACCTTATAATTGGCTGCTTGAAGCTGTTCATATGTATTCTTCAGTTAAATACTATCAAGCTAGTGGGAGTGCTAGTGAACTCAATGCTATTTACAGTATAAATAATCCTCATATTTTGAGCTGCAAGCATCATGACCAGCTGATATTTTCTTTCCTCAGGACCAGCTGTTCCCTAGGAGTGTCTGGCTGGAGCCATATGATCTTAGCAACATATTTCAGAGCTGTTTCTAAACACTGACAGACTCTTGTGCAGCAATGACTGTTGTAGAGGAAAATCGACCTTTTGCCCAACAATTATCCAATGTCTACTTTACCATACTTTCACTTTTCTGCTTTAAACTTTTTGTAAAAATCAGCCTTGCAATACTCAGTCATTTCTATATTGTAAAGGGGAATCGTAAAGAGGCAGCAAGAATAGCTGCTGAGTTTTATGGAATTCCTCAAGGACAAGGTATGCTTCTTTCTATTACTTGTTACTGAACTGCTAGGTTTATAAAAATACCTTGTTAAACATTTGTTTTCCATATTATCTATGTTGATTTTTGCTATCTGCATTCTTTCATTTGGTTTTTACACTAAGCAATATCGGTTGTTTTCGTGCACTCTCCTGCTCCTGACATGCATAGCAGACCATTTAATAGGAAAGAACATTAATTAAAATTGATGGAATCTAATATTTCTATTATTTCTGAATTGTAAAAAATGTATTAATTAACCTTCTGTAACATATATTAACAATTGGCATTCATCAAGTTTCCAAAATATATGCTACTCAATGTCAATTTATAGTACATTAATATCCTTGATTATTTATATCAAAAGAGTAGATAGAAACATATCTAATTCATAGTAATTCTGATGACAATCTAAGCATGATTTTGATCCATTTTTAAAATATCAGACATTCACAATATATATAGGTATATGCAATTGTTACATATAGCAATTCCAAAATTTCATATGTTATAAGCTAAATTACTTCAAGCCAGAGACATCTGTAATTCAAGCAGCTTCTCTTCAGTTAATATCCAGCTCAAGTTTGATTTCTGTATAGTAAGCAATACTGCAATCTTTCAGAATTATTAGTAAAGGCTGAATTTTATGTAGAAAAGCCAATTATTTCATTCCAATAAATGGCTATATAGTTTTATATTAGATTTATAGACACATTTTTGACAGTCTCCTCTCCCAGAACTGTACCTAGATTCTCAATATGTAAGAAATAGTAAGTGCTTGGTTTTGTTTTCCTCATCCCTTTTTCCTTCTGGGTCATGTATTTTAGATGGGCAAGGACTTTCCTTTTTTCATTGTTTCTACATAAACTGCTCTGAAAGCATTCTAAGTTAAGGTTGATTTTATGTTATCATCACTGAAGAGAAGCTTAAAGATTTCAGTTTTTTCTATGACAAAGTAGGATCTAGTAGTGTTTATGGAGCTATGGATTATCTCTGCCCTAAAAATAATTTGATGTGGGAGCCATTCAAAATCACAATTATCACAACAATCCACCATTCCAAACTATACATGTTATTTTTTAATAACAAGTGGGAATCCTGAATACCCAAGCCACAGGTTGTTGGGTTTTGGAGATGCAAAACTTTATCCTCAGAAAGAAATATTATCCATTTCACTATGACTTATTGTCTAAAGATTATATATAC